TATGAACTGTCTGGTTTAATCAGAGCTAATTATAATATTTACCCACTAACTGATCTAATTTTTAATTGTTTTTACTTTCTTTTTCCTCTAACTACTGTGTCTATTCTACTCTACTTTTAATCTATATACCATGGTATGCAGGTTCTCTGTTGCATATTCATCAGGCTATCTCTTTTCTTTCTTTCCCCCTGTTTCTCTACCTCTCTTTTTACTAGCGTGTAAAGTGTTATAATAATAATAATAATAATAATAATAATAATAATAATATTTTTAACTTGTTTTACCCTGTTTGTTGAATAATAATAATAATATTTCTATCTTAGCATTATGATAATAATAATAATTCAAAGTTTACTACAGAATTTAAGTCATAGAATAGTTAGAACCTGCAGGGGCAAGATCCTCAATATAATCTGGCATCTATAAATGATAATAAATAAACTTAAGCAGAATCAGTTTTCAGAGGCTAGGCATGTGTGTATCATGAATATGGTATCATCCACTTACCATGAATTGAATTTTATCAAAATAGTTTTGAACTTTACCCCCCTCCCCGACCTCAGTCCCCTGGCCCCCTACCGCGCCCGACTATATTTTCGTGGCCCGATAGTGACTCTTGAGTTGATGTATAATCTCTAGCTGCAAAGAGCGTGTCTCAGCTTGTGCGATATAGTAGTTTGAGACTCCAGAGCACTGAGGAAGCAACCGAGATGATAAAACACACAGAATCAGCTTCTAACATGGATGGTAAGAAAATAATATGGACACTAAGCAATTGCATGATCAGCATCAATACACTTAGTTTCTAAGACCAATTTTGAATAGACCTGAAATAAAATTTAATGTTGCATTATAATTGAAAAACTATCCCTCTAGTAAGAACATAATTTGATAGATTTCTTTGAACCAGGGGACAGTCTCTCAAAAGGGACTGTACAGGACCCCATTTTTCAAAGGAAGTGGATATTGGTCCGGCAGCCGGACGCCTACTGCGCGGCTATAGATCCGGCAGTCCGTTGTTCTCCGTAAAACAGCTTGTGCGCATGCGCAATAGTGCAAAATGGAACTTAGTCTTTTTTTTATCAAGAAACCCTAATCCCAAAACCCTACAATCCCGGAGGCTAAGATGTACGACAGGGTGCTCTAAAAACTAAACACTAAACCCCAATCCCAACCCTACGACCCCGGAGGCTAAGATGTACGAGAGGGTGCTCTAAAAACTAAACACTAAACCCCAATCCCAACCCTACGACCCCGGAGGCTAAGATGTACGAGAGGGTGCTCTAAAAACTAAACACTAAACCCCAATCCCAACCCTACGACCCCGGAGGCTAAGATGTACGAGAGAGTGTTTATTTTTAAAAAAAGTAAAAAAAAGTGATAAAAAAAAGAAAAAAAAATCAAACATTTCAGCATAGTTTTAGTCAATAGTCCCGACAGGATTCGAACCGCTGACCCCATCCGTGCAATCCAGACCAGCCTCTCCACTACACCACCGCAACCCTGCTGCATTAACGTTGCTGATTGTCGTATTTATACTTGATATCTGTATATAAAATCGTGTA